CACATTCTATGTTCTTCATTGTGCATCAGAAGCACAAAGGAGCTCTGTGCTACTTGCTTTTGGTAATTAAACATCTGCCTCAAAAAAAAAAAAAACTTCTACTTCTAGTGCCAATGTTTGTTTCTTTTTTCCAACCAGGGCACATCAAAGTGAAAATAGCATTACACCGTATACAAACTGTTATGGGCAACTGGGAGACAGGATGGGCACGTTATGAAGTGAATACATTACACTAGTCGTACTCTGGCAATACAAAGCGAACAATACTGTAAATGTAAATAGCTGCAGATAGTACCTTTAAGGGGGAAATGAATTCATTACATTCCCCAGTCAAAATATCCCTGAATGGTTGGGATCCTAACCTTCAGTAGCCGTCTGCTGCTTCAACCTTTAGACTGTCACTGTCCACAGTATCCGCAGTACACATCAATCACGCCATGGATGCCATGATGGGGATTTCTAATGCAGCAGGCTTAACAAAATGATTCTCAGTTCACTTCAATTATCATCTACGAAGGAGTTGTGTCAATGTTGTCCATGTGCTTTAGACGCAAGGAGAGTGTGGATTTACACAACAGAAATGTTTTCATGTCTTCACAGGCGCCACAATGAGCCCGATAGCTTTATGCTGCAGGATGTCCTGATGAAACTGTTCTGAAAAAAAAATACCCACTCCAGCTGTGCTTAGTTCAATACAAATATCCCCCAAAAACTGCTGAATAAAAAAAAAAGATTGCTGCCCCATAAAACATATAAAACTAATAAAGCAGTGGTCATAGGTGACTTCAAACCACCTATTTGTGCACAGATGCATGCTAGTCAAACATTCTGAAAAGTATTTTTACTTTACCAGAATCAACTCTAATCCAAATGTAAATTGTCAAAGTTTCAAACTTTGCTGAGAATCGTACTGTCCTTATTTAAACATGATTCTCAATTATGTTTCTATAAAGTATTCCAGGTGTTTCACCTTTCATTAAATGCCTGTAGAGCCGTGTCATCATCACACAAATTCTTGAGCAAGTGATAATGTATTTAATGAGGCATGAAGCTGCTAAATGTGCCTCTAATTGGACTTATAATTAGTCAATACCATTGACGGGCTAATCAGTGTTTGGACTAATAAGAGTTGTTATGCTTTCAGGGATAGGTATGCATCATTAAGCTATGAAAGTATTATGTTGATCTACTGTTAGCCCTAAAAAAAATGACAATGACATTAATTCTTACATTTTCGATCCGATTTTGATTGTTATTGTTTGTTTGTTTTCTTAGTTTGCACTGACGATTTTTTATTTCTGCTGTCTATATCAAGCGCTACAAAGTGTGCACCCTTGTCTGCAGGAATGTGAGATAGTGTCGATGTTATGAAGCTGACAGAGCCCAAAAATAGCAGCAGGGAACACGTGTGAATGTCTGCTTTCAGATCAACTCAGCTGAGCCGTAAAATGAGTCCTTGACGATGACCAGAGGACTTTTTTTTTAATATAGCAGATAACAAGCGAAAACTTGCCCTGCAGGTTTAAACAACAGCGCAATGACAAAACCATTCTTTGAAAAGCACACATGGCAGGGGAAACACTGCATGGGGATGATGCAGTAACTTTATTGATCATACCTTGGATGAATTATTGCCACATTGCAGTTCGATATCTGAATGTTCTAGTTCATAAAACGTTCAAAAAGTTGCTGGTACTTACAAGCTGAGTGACAAGAGTCCGTCTTTGTCGAAGGTGCAGGTGCAGGTACAGTGAATATTGATGTCCAAAGAAATGTGGAAGAACAGATATCAGTGCTCAGTAGTAGCCTACTCGGTGGAGCTGAAACCTGAAGCGCAGTTTCAGATCTGCAGTCCGTGGAGCTCCAGGACGGGCCGGACTGACACCGGAGAAGCCCCAGCTATACGGGGGCCGATCCGAAAAACTCACTGCGGGGAGACTAAATATAGAAACCAGTCAGGGTTCAACACACACCCTCTCCAAGAGTTTGGCACTGGTGGCTGTCACCTGGGTTAAAGGTCCCACATCAACATGTGTATGTAATGGGGTTAGGCTTAATGTCAGCTCAGCTGTGGAACAAATCCAAAACCTGGCAACCTGAGGCCAACTCATGGTTTCCCCTGGTCCATTCATAAAGATACAGAGGAGGGGATATTACCGAGTGTTAGAAAAGCATAAAAAAGAGACTAGGCAGGAATAGGCCTGTACTTGAAGTTTCTATTATAATGCTAAAAAATCACTACTAGATAACATAACATTAGATAAAGTTGTGTCCTCCTAACTTTTTTTTAAAATAGAACTTTAGTCGTTTTCTTTTTTCTTGACTAGTTGATAAAAATAACATCATTACATGCATTAATAAGTAAATAAAACTGCATTTAGCCAAACCTTCCATCTTGCAGATAAAAAGTGAGCGAAAATGTAGACTACCACTGCTGGCGTATGAAATAATTAACATTAAATGAAAAGTTGCTTAGGCTACCTGTCTGTAAAAGCAAAAAACTTCTGACAATTTACTGCTAACATGCTGACGTTTGTTCGCAACATTGTCATAAATCATTTGCTAAGAAACATTAGGTTACAGTTAAAAGAAGTTTGCGACAAGTCCTCTTGAAACTAAAGTTTTACAACATTTTAACGTTTTTTACTCACAATTCACAGAGGAAACTGAACAAAGTACCACTATAATGAAGTAGGCCTATTGAATAATATGACATTAAAATTCAAAAAAATGTTCTTGGCCTGTAGGCCTTCATTCGAGTTTGTTTCGAGGCAATCTGAATGACAGGTTACGTGCATTTGTTTTTCCAAGAAATTTGCATGGAGTTGTCAAGAAACATAGTGATAGGCCTACATTTAGTCCGAAACTATATCTATAGCGTAATGGTAATGGTAATATCCATCCAATATGTCTAGTGCTACACTATTACAAAGTTGCAAAAGAGGCAGTTGAAAACTCTTAGAAACAGACTTTATACAGGGAGAATATAATTGATAGATTTGAGGAGATCCACCCAATATGGCTCCACCTAAATAAAGACCATTGCGTTCAAGACAGGTATTTGTTGGTGGCATCTTGTGCTGATGGTCCACAAAACAAGTTAACACATACATACTCTATAGGCCTAGTTCTTGAAGTAAGTGCTACACCTATATAAGTCCTATGTTTCCAGGCCCAGGGAGCTTTATATTGCTGAAGAGCTGACACGAAGGTCAAAGCTCACACAGGCTGGCTCAGCAGTTTGGATAAGAAGCTAAACTCTGTGAAGAGCTCCTGTGACAGTGATAGATTAAAGAATATTTGCGAAATACCAAACCTGATATTTGTTTCATGGAGATACTCTGCTAAATAAAATATACTTACCTGAATTATAAATTGGGCATACAGTATAGCCAAATATGGGACTCTTTTATTCGTTTGTTATTTGTTGACTTGAAAACATTAATGAAGGAAGGAATGGCCAACATTCAAAATATTCTTGATGCAGCAGGGGGGTGCTTTTTGTTTTACATTTCATCTTATATTGTATGGGAAAAAATATTGCTTTGGTTGGTGTATTATTTTTATTCAGCCACAAATAAAATATGCACTTCAAAGGCTTTCTAGGTCTCTAATGTTTGCACAAGTAGAGTCAAACAATGACATTACACATGACACATCTGATGACAGAGTGCACAAACTTACACAATCAGAAAGGAAGAAGTGGCACAACTGCTTAGACATTTATAGCCTCCAGGGGTTTGTTCACAGGTCTTTGTTAGAATCAATACTTCAAGTGAGCACCAGAGGGCAGCACAACATCATGTTACTCTTAGGCTGGTGATGTCTTCAGGCAAAACCAACAGATTGTTCTTGGGTTAAAGTCCAAAGTGAACTTTTCAATTAACTATCAACAATTTTCCTGGGGCAGTTTGAATGAGAGCTGTTTTTGTGCTCCTGGTGCAGCAACAAGTACTTAGCTGTACAATTTTAAACTTTAATTCTCCATCCAATAATAGTAAATTAAAGGCATAGTTGTGCTTTTTCAACTTCAACTTATTTGCAAAAAGGCAATTTGGGCAATACATGATTGACTATATTTCAACAAGACTCTCTTACATGAAAATGTATTTTATGTGGGCAAGTAAGTGTTAGAAAACCTACATGTCATTGCTCTTGTCCATGACCCTGCATTGCCATGTGAGTGTAGCTTGTTGTTGTCCTAAAAAAAAAAAAAAGTTCAGTTAAGCTGAAAAGTTTACCCATAAAATTAAAGATATGATAAAAAAATTATACTAAGAAAATTGGAACAGAATCTTTCATTTGCAAGCCATGAATAATTGTATAGACAACGGCTTTGGGAAATCCAGGCTTACTGTCTTTGTGCTGAATTACAATTATCCTCATTGTAGTCACCACTGTTATCCTATTACACACAATCTGTTACTCCACACCCTGCACATTGTTCAGTGAGAAGAAAGGGTGTCTGAACCCGTCCCTGACTCATCCTCCTCTATATTTTCTCTAATCTAACTTTAATTGCTTGGCCTTAACTTTCAACTTTCCTTTTAAAGATTCATATCCTGAGCTACTCAAGAGCAGTTCTGCTCCGCTGGCTCCGCACGCCGCCTGCAGGTTCCCTCTGACGCTGGTAATTCCTTGATGAGGCGCTTACTCACCCAAACCAATTCTTCCCACCTCTTTCAGTCTCCTTATCTCCCTCATGCTCACCCTGATGCAACCTTTAACATGTATCTTTTCTCTTCTCAGTGCGCTAAAGCCTTCAAGACATGGCTACACCCACTGGAAACAAAAAAAAAATCGACACAATGACAAGAAAGAGACAAAGCGGCAGAATTAGGAAACAGCAGGGATGAAGCTCAGGGGTGAAGTCATTACAGTCGACAAGTGAGAACAGGAGCAGGGTCTGTCTCTGGAGCCGGCTAATTGAGCTCGGATGAGTGAGAGTAGACACAGGTAGGCACTGTGTTTGACTGTGTGGTTCCCTCTCTTCCGTGCGGATGACTATGAACAAAAGGGCAGACTCTTTCTCTAATCAAGCTAATGGAGTGGGAAGACGCTGGTGGCTGAACGAGATGGGCAGTGACAGGTAGAAGGGCCTCCAGGGAAAGATTTAGGGAGTCTGAGGTGAGGACTTCAGCCTCTGATTGGCAGGATGGAGGGTAATAAAAAGCCCCTACTTGTACTGTCAGATCCATTAACAGCAGGTTCAGGTCTACTGTGGTTCATGTCAGCCGTCCACGCTGCCAGAGAAAATCGTCAGAGGTTTAAGGTCTGTGTACTAAAACAGTGAGAAATCTGCTTGTTGACTGCAACAACCTGCTTAGACTTTAATCCACATTGTATTGAAGTGTGTGTTCAATAGTCAAACCATTTAATCTTTGTTTTTGGAAGCAGGACAGCAACTGAAAGTCCAATCTATGATGACCCTGCAAAGGAACAAGTCAGAATGGTAAGTCAACTCAGAAGAAATTCAGTTTAACTTGTGTCCCCAGAAAAAAATCTATTCAGTACAAAAAAAGTCTTTATACAAAGTGATACATTAAAAATAAACAGGCCAGGTTCAACAAGAATTCTTCAATTTGGAAGCAGGTAAGAATCAGGCAATTTGGTGGCGGGACTGTCTGCACAGTTTGCCTGTCAGAGATACAGGTCACTTGGCATAGAGATTTCAGTTTGAATTTTATACAAATAGAGACCTTGTTCCACTCTTGCCGTAAGCCTGTTTAGCTCAAAGATTTGGTAATAACACCATAATACTTCAGAGTTCTTTGAATGCAGAATGAATAAATGCATGGATTTGGAGCAGATCTCACAAGCTACTGCACTGTGGGTGAGGAGGTCTGCTTGAGTTATATTTCTTTTAATCTAGGCTATATATTTGCAAATACATAATCTAATGGAAAATATGAATCAAATATCTGATCATTTTGAGAAAAAACTAAATATAGATTTTGTTATTTTTCAAAGCATGCAAAACTCAGTTTTTAAAATTGAAATACTCTGAATTACTTAAAAATTGAACGGAGTTTCCTGTTTATCACAACATTTATTTTCCAGACTATATTGGTACTGTACACCTGCAGAGTCATTATTAAGTCTCTCTCTTGTCTGTCGGCTTTATTGACCATGTTCTAATAGCCTTGGTCGCTCCTGGTTGTGGTGTGAAAGCAGTGTCAGTCGGGTGAGGTTGTTTGTGCTGTTGGCATTAAAGTTCAAATTAGAGTTAATTAAGACAGCATTACTTTACAGCACATAGGACTGAGCCAATGAGGAGGTCCAGCTGGGTTCATCTTTCAGGAGTTTGTCTTAAAGCAGTTGCTTAAACCATTTAAATGTAACAACAAAATGTAATTAGAAAGAAGTTCAATTGAAACATTATATTAGATACAAATTGGTATAAATGCTCAGTCCAGGTGATGTACAGTAGATCCTCAGAATGTGTGGAGTAGAATAACTCACAGCAATAAGAGAAACTAGTTCAGTAGGACTGTCTGTGCTTTTGTGCACATGCACATTTGAATTGTTCGGTTAAGAAAGTCATGAATTATGAAATATGGCACAAAACAAATACTTGTTTTCTTGTTACTTCAACAATCCATCATGTTAGGATCCAGTGTCTGCTCTGCCTGAGTTTTACTGACATATTTACAGCTCTTTCTGCATCTGTTCCTGCATCATGAAGTTATCCCAGAATATCCCCCAAAATCATCTTCACTGCTGAAATAAACACACATCTGTTCCTCCCCCTCAGGAGGCCTGGCTTGGTGCTGTGCTGGTTTCTGCTCTGGATCACTCTGCAACAAAACTCAGTGCACCGGGTGTCAGCCGTCAACCTGCGGCGCTTCATCGGCTGCGCAGTCCGGGAGTTCACTTTCCTGGCCAAGAAGCCTGGCTGCGGGGGCCTGCACATCACCACAGACGCCTGCTGGGGGCGCTGTGAGACCTGGGAGGTGAGCATGTGGGAGACAACTACTGTACTGTACACACAGAGAGAAGAGGAGAGGCGTGTAAATGTGATTAGATTAAGTGATGTAAGTAATGCAGACAAGTTTACGCAGAAGAAAGCAGAGAGAGAGAGAGAGAGAGAGAGAGAGAGAGAGAGAGAGAGAGAGAGAGAGAAACAGGAAAGCAAATACTGTAAATACAGAAAAGGAGAGATGGATGATTGAAATGCAGGAAATTTGTGATGTGTTCCTCGACATGGAGGTCAGAGAAAGGTCAGCCGAACGCGAGCACAGATCGGCAGCAGACAGACGATACAGAACATGAACAAATATTGGAACAAATGAAGACGAAAATACATATATCAGAAAAGTGTATTCTGTGTATTTAATAATAAACCAATATCTAAGTTTGTCACTTGGTAATGAGAGGCGGTCTGAAGTGGATATCTGAAGGCTTTCAGAGCAGTTTTCACTGAAATTGAGTTATCGTTTGCAAGAATGGAAAGCAGCATGGAATCCAGAGATTGAAGTGACAGCAGCACTTTCCTTAACAATGCCTCAACTGCATAAAAGACACTGTTGGGTTGTATAAGTCGCCAGATACTGATTAAAAAAAAATGCTGTGAAATCTCAAGTTTCATCTGTTACGTTGTATTTGGTGACAAGAGGCATTAGAAAGCTCATGATTCTCTCCGCCTTGTAATTGTAGCGTAGCTGGTGTGTGTGTGCCAGAGGCCCAGAGCATTGTTTTGTGATATTCTCTGGATCCCCCCCAGGGAGGAGACTCATCTTTGTGTCTGCTCTTACCTCACAGAGAGATCAGGGGGAGGGGATGCCGTGCTTTTTAGGAGGAAGAGTTTGTAACAGAGACACAGGATCAGGGGCGGAATCAATGAATTTTGGTTTAATTTGTCTCTATTTAGAACTAAACGTCTTCAGAATCTACAACCTTACTGTCTGTGAACTGGATTATAAGAGAGAAATGTATTTACTGCAACAGAAAAATAGAATTCATTTCCCGCCCCGCCAACACCACAGCAAATAATAGAGGCTCTGTGGATGAGTCACAAATCTCCATTTAAACAGTCTCCCGCTGTGAACAAAACAACTCAGGAAGATTTCAGGGGCAGCCTGTTGTACATTTTCGAGAATTTACAAGAGTACACATGTATAAATTTCCAACGATAACGTTTAAGCTTTTCATCCACCAGTAGTGGTGTTGTTGGTATTTGGTGGAAATATTCAACATATAGTCACTCAGAATTAACTATTTAGCAGAACTTAGATGTGAAGTGTCAATAGCTAACCTTAGCAGCAAGACACATTGAACACATTGCCAAAAAAAAAGAAAAAAGGATCACATTTTTTGATGAGAAGAATACAACCAGAGAAGGGAGTTTTTACACAAGTTGTTTTCCATTTCTAATTTTCAGAAACCTATCCTTGACCCGCCCTACGTTGAGTCGCACCAGCGGGTTTGTACGTACAACGAGACCCGTCTGGTCACCGTGAAACTGCCAAACTGCCAACGGAACGTCGACCCGACGTACACCTACCCGGTCGCCCTGAGATGTGACTGTGGTGTTTGTCTGACCAGCACAACTGAATGTATAACAGCTGTGTAACACAACCCTGGGCAGGCACAAGATTTTATTTTTCATGTTTTCGCATTTGCTTTAAGTTGCTGCTGGATTTCACGTTTGTTTGTTTGATTAGTTAAAGGGTTGGGTTTTTGAATTGGGGTTGGGGTTAGCCTATACTTGTCAATGGGAAGTATGCAGGCATAAAAACATGTTATGTGGTGTGCAGAAGTAGAGCAAAACAAACGGGCTTGCTAGCAGAAAAGTATTGCGCTGTGGATTTCTTTCAGTATAGCAAACATTTACCCAAGGTGTTTTTCTTCTGTTGTAATCGACTTGCCTTTCAATGTGTTTATACCAGATGTGAGCTTGTCTATGGTCTGATCAGTTGTATTAATAAACTGGGTTTTTACAGCGTGTTGAAATTTGATTTACTTAAATGAATACAGTTGTTTGTATCTTTCAGACTGAAATCCTTCAGCACCTTAAATGTGTAGTTTTGATTGATTTCTTTATTTCAAACATGTAGAAAAAACAAAACAAAGAAACACTGTAATTAAAAAATATGTAGAAAACAAATAAATAAATACACAACATAAGAAAGAAAATTCGATGTCCTTCATTCGCTCTTACATGCCCGAAAAGGAATAGGAAGAAGTTAAAATTTATCTAATCCTACCCCTATTCAATTAATTTAATAGGTATTAATTACACAATAGCATATCATATAATATAACATAATTACTTATATGGCATTTTCAAATAATCTAATTAATTACACCCATAATGGATATTCCCATGTACAGTGTACCATCACCAATAGTATGAATACAAAACCTGCAAACCAATAAACTAAACCAAAGAGTAAATGAATAATCACAAACACACCCCAGTCATTGTGATTACCCTTCCTCATCCCTGTACCTCATGAAAACTATTTATTTACATTTATATTTGAATTATATGACGTTACTACATTGCTTCAGCTCTTCACTCAGATTATTCCATCGTTTTACACCAGAAATATCAATCAATCAATCAATAAATTTTTATTTTACCTAACAAGTGTTATTTCGAGACACTTTAAAAAAGCAGGTAAAAGACCTTACTTATATAAGACAAAAAATACTTACTTAAATAGACAAACAAAATCTTTTCTGTGTATACTACGTCTCTTAAAGTTTAAAAGCCCCCTTAATTCATAACCCCCCTCTCTGTCACAAAACAATTCCTAAATGTAAAGAAGAAGAAGATTATTCCTCGCTTTAAACAATATCTGTGCAGTTTTTAGTTGGACTAGGTCAGTACATTTGAATAATTTGGACTGTAAGAATAATGGGTTGGTGTGGTTGTGAAATCCGACATTGTGTACTATTCTGATGGCTCTTTTTTGAAGTATATTAAGTGGTTGTAGATTGCTTTTATAGGTATTTCCCCAGATTTCTAAACAGTAGTTAAGAATTGGTAAACAGTGAGCAGTAAAGAATATGAAGTGATTTAAGATTCAGGAAGTGTTTTGCTTTAACCAGGACTGAAATGCTTCTTTGTTATGGACATGTTTAATGTGAGGTTTCCAGAAAATTTTGTCATCGCTGATCACGCCAAGATATTTTGTTAGTTGACTAAATAGTCTTTCATTGATGGATGCCCAATGAAGTGACCACTCCTTAACGCTCAATTAACCAACCTGAGGTCTGAGTCCAACCCAATGCTGGTTAGTCATCAGTAACCGGGCAGATAAACAGGGCTCTTACAAAGTGTTGTGAGACATATGACTCCTAAGGGGGAGAGGGATTTATATAATCCCTGTGTGCTCACATGTGACTGAGGAGCCGCAGGGCTGCGTTCGAGACCCAGCGCTCAAAGGGAAACAGCAACATGCACTACTCCCATGATACAAACCCTCTCTGTTCTTTTATTCTTTCTCTGTTTGGCTTTGTTCACATTCTGCACGTCATTCTTTTAAAGCTCCCACCTGCTGCAAAAGTACGATTTGACAAGATGTATTCAGTCCAGAGTGTTTTGCTCATTTGCGTCATCCATTATTATGATTTCGAGAATATTAGATCTTTTACCAGAAGGACTATTAAAACGCTAATATAGTGAAATAACTTTTGGAAAAGTGACAAAATCAAGTGAAGAAATACATGTTGAATTATTCTGCTGATAAGAGATACATGTGTGAAATCTTGGTGTGCATGTAAAGAGCAGCAGACACCTACATTTGAAATACTTTTACATTTTAATTTCACTTAATTCTAGAGTTTCATTTGAAATCAAACTACATTTTTTGCATATATTTTTACAAAAATGGGTAAAATGTAGAATTTTTATTGCTTTTTGGATTTGTACAAGTTTTTCTAAAGGTGTATCGCAACCCTCCCAGAGGGTCCTGACCCCCGTATTTGGGAACCACTGTTCTCGATATTGTGATTTTGTGAATATTTCGCTAACTGCATGTTGCAGGGCCAGACAGACGCTAATTATTTTCTGTGTCTAAACTTTATATTGGTCGACTTTACACAGGTGTTGGCTAAGGTAGTTGAAACTGCCTAAAAAAATCATATAAATAAGTTGATTATCAGTAAGAAAAAGTTACCTGACATATTCACCATCATTATATATTGATATTTAATTTCACATTCATCCCAGCATTAATCTATATTATATCATCAGTCTTACAGTAAGTAACAAAGCTGCAGGAGTCTCACTTGGACCAAACATATTATCAGACTTATGACCTTCTGGTATCTGATCTCTTCCTGTCGGGTCAGCCTAATAACACTCAAGCAAGACTGTGTTATCACCTGACACTGTGCCAATCAGCGCAAAGATAATCATTAGCCGTTATTGATCCTGGCCCGTTTTAGAAGCTATATTGGTTTTCTAAATGTTGGAGTCAATCCAAACTAACAAGCTGACTTTCTTGGCCCGAGGTCAGTTACTCATCTGACACAGAGTGACAGCTAGTCTTTTTAGTGTACTATACTCTTTAAGTGTACACTGTGTCAATGATTTTGGTCTTGTTTTAAGCGGTTTGAAATTCAACCAAAGCTATACAAAACACACAAAAGAATTTGCTGGCAGGGTTATCTTACACTTCTCCGTCTCCTTCCGTTGTAAAATAGTGAAGCCAAAATACCCCCTTAATGGGAGCTGACAACAGTGTGCCGGTGACATTTTTGAGCGAAGAAATGAGCGATAGGAAGCTGTTTGACACCACACCCCTTCTGCACATTTAAATTGACGTATAAAATCACACAGGTGGAAAAGGACAGTCCACAGCAGAACAGATCATTGTGATTTCACCTTTCTTTCCCCCCACTCTGCTGATCTCAGTCAGAAATCTGCAACAGAGCACACAATCATGTCATTACAATTATATTGTTGGAAATTCAAATGTGTTTCATATCAAAGTTTGAAACCCAAAATGGCATTGAATGGCAGATCAAATAACCTTTAATCATCAATCGATGGACTTCACTTCAAAGGACATAAAACTATGACTAATGCTAGAGACCTTTTGGAAGCAAACCAAATACCTATGATGGCATGACTCGATTATTTTCCAAATATGTTTGCAGTACAATTGCCATTTATATATTTGGCCAAAAACTGAGTGCTGGATAAACCTTAAGTTTCTATAAGCATCTAGTTTAATGCACCATAAAGATCGTTTTGGTTTGTAACAATTTCTTAACTCCCTACTTCAGTTAATAATACAAAGAACCACTTCGTCAGTTGGATTCTCTTCCATAATGTATGGCTGATAAAAGGACAACGATAGTAAATGTATTTAAAGAACACTGCAGTATTTTGTTGGTAGAAAACCAGAATGGAGCTGAACACTGTCAAACAAAGAGGACAATGCAAAAGCAAACAGCAGTGTGTGTGTGAGAGTGCTGAACAGGCTTTTACTGTAAATGTAAAGAAAAAATGAAGAGGTTAGCTGTCTGGACTGCAGCTCTCCCAAGACCTCTGTTATCTTAACAACCCTGACAGGAGAGATGCTCTAACGACCCCCCGCTGTCCTAATCTTTTCTGACATTACCACTTCCTCTTTCTGCTGCAGGGATGGGGGGAGGGAAGAAGACGACTGCAAGAGCTCTTGGCAGGGGTACTGTAACTCAAGAGCCAAGAGGGAAGAGGAGGGGCGGACCACTGAGTGAAACCATTGATGGAGGTTCCTAACCTGGGGTCTATGTCTTCTCCTGGGAGCTCAGGGTAGACATGATGACTCATGTGTAGAGACCTTTCATTCAGGTTGGAGTGAGCCGTCTCCCTGGACTGTTATTTTAAACTGGTAATTCAAGGGTCGGCTGGATTGTTGAGGAATGTCATTCAGTTACATTAAGAAACATGCTAAATATGTGCTACCAATTTACTCTGATAGATCCGTCTAGTTTAAAGAGACTGGTCACACATTCACAACTGTAGGTGCATGGCCACCGGCAGCATTACATTTATATCTTGGCATCCTATTTTGGGTCTTTAAAGATAAAGTCAATGACACAGACGTCTAGGATATTGTTCAAACAGAAGGTCACTCCTGAAATAAATGCATTCAATATCTTTCTGGCCAATCAGCCATAGGTACTCTCCCATGCTACTACTGTAAGTCTAGGTCACTATATCAGGGTCAGAATGCCAATTTCTCTCACTGAATCTTGGGGTTAAGGGCAGGTGAGCTGATTTTGAAGCAATGGCTTAAGGGAATCCTCCCCTCCACTGCCTCTGATGCATCTTGACAGGTACCAACTGGGATTATGAATTATATAGCCACTTCTACAGTGACATGCGGATGAAGAGGAGGATCTGAGAGGAAGTGTCAACGGAGAGAATGGCTGAACCGCTCTGTTGGGTGAAATTTCTCCAGGGATATAACCAGCCTGGGATCGTTATCACCGTTATTACCGTTGACATGTAGTATGACTGAGGCAGCAGGGGTGGAGGCTGATTGATGAACTCACTTTTGCTGGCAGAAAATTCTGCACACAGCATTTTTCCAGCTATATGGAACAGTGGACCAAATCATGGAAAAACAATAATTTGCCAATTTCCTTGTTGGTATTGAACAAAGCAGGAAAGGAACTTTTAGTTTTGCTAAGTTTTCTTTTAAATCTAATATTCCAAAGGGAAATGTTTGAGGTTTTCCAGGACATTTATTTACTATACTAAGTTTACTTTATATCATGAAGTCTAGAATAAACTTTCTTTATATTTATATGAAACTGATC